CATGTAAGTACCCGCGAAAACTTAAGAAAACATATATATATATATATTTGTGTCAGTTTATGCCTTTCTAAGCAGTGTTGCAATCATATCATTTGCTGCCTTGTTTCACTGTGCGACCATGATTGTTCCAAACAAATAAGTCTGAGAATATGTTATGCTACTGAGTGACCCATGCAAAACATAGTCAGGCTTGGCTCGTATTCTGCTACGTGTAACCAGGATGTATATAAACTAGAAATACAAGTGCTCTTTTGAAGTCAGTAGTTATATTCAAATTTGTAAGCTTGAAAACCTGTCCCTTCAAATTAAGACAGCTGTGAGGCTGGCAAAGGATGTAGCTTCCAAAAGTATTAGTGGTCTTATCTTTGACTGTGAATCAAAGTGCAAGACATCTGATGAGTGGAATGCTGGCTTGCCACTCTTCTAAGAGATCTGTAGAAATCCATAAATTTCATTTTCTGCATATCCAAGAAATCTCAACAGTGTCTTCTTTGACATACTTTGACACTCTGCGACTGGATTTTCTCGAACTTTTACTTAGAATTAATCTTAATCTGGTTCTTGGATGATAGCTAATCTTCTTCAAATAGCTATGGGGGAGCCTATCTCAGCAAGATGGCATAATTGCACAGTACATGATCGTATTTCTGATTCATCTGCAGTTGCTTCCATATAATTGTGAAATTAGATCCATTTCTATATCTGAAATAGTAGCTTGGGGTTTATATAAGAATAATATTTACTTTTTCATCCTAAATTTTAAACACAATAAGAAAACACATTCTGCTTTCCTGATATAGGCTAAAAAATGTGTTTTCATTCAATTGCCTTTTTGTTCTTTAAATAAAATGCATATTAAGTTCAGCACAAGGCAGACTTTTTACTTTGATGTGAATAGTTAGTCAGAATACCATTGCAAAAAAATCACAACTGATTATTAAGAAAGGAGGATATATTGTACTTACCAGTTTTTAAAGCAAATATTAAATCATCAAACTCTTGTGATTCTTCATCTGCCATCAAAGAACTGTTCCTAAATCCTCCAGCAGCTATGTAGGCATTGCCATTCTGTGGGCTTTGCTTAAAGACAGTCCTGGCCTCAGTGCCTGTTCTTGGAGACGCCCTCTCCCAGTCCGCTGGCATCTTTAGAAAAAGCATTAAGAAATGTATAGTTTTTTATATAGAGTGCCACAAAAATCACTCTGCACTGTCTTCCTAATGATGCTATTGATTCTCTAGACTAGAAGATCCCTCAAATAGCAAATGATACCATCATCATTATTGACTTATTTTGGCAACTAAGGAAAATATTATCTTGATTTAGATGCCCTAGGCTGACTCCAAATATCCTGGCCCTAGCAATGTGCATGCAGTCAAAATAATTAGAGCAACGGGTTTTTCCTTATGCATTATGGCATTTCCCAATGCCAAAATAGCAGGAGTGGACAAAAGATTTTGCCACCTGATGTGAAGTAGCAAAGTGGTCAAATTATGCTGGATCCTAAGTTATACAATTCAACAAAGCTCTCTCCTTTCCCAGTAAAAATCAGTTCAGTATTGAGAAATAAGAGTTCTGGACTTTTAATGACACTTTACCTAATGACTAGTCAGGTCCACAAATTAAGTGGGACTAAGGTTTGATATTGCCAAAAATACCACTATCAAAGGAAGGCTGTTTCTCTAAGTCTAGCCACCAATTCCTTTAGGGATCCATAGACTGTTCTTGATAAAATAATAACGTAGTAGATTTTCAAGATGAAAGTTACTTTCTTTGTGAAATAATAATTGGTAGAAAATAAATACAGAAAATATGGAATGCATAACTGATATCAAACTGGCTTTGGATTTACGTGTATCTTATTGTGGATTCTGTAACTCCACAACAGATGTTCAATGAAAAGGAGTCAGAGCTGTCAGCATTACAGTAGCAGCAACTACAAGGCTACCTTATAATCTGAGACCGAGACCCTCTGGATATGTGAACACTGAATCTATTTCAGCCAACACTGATTGCCTGCTGAGGTGAAAGTCAAAGACCCTCCTCCATCTCTGAACACCTCAGGAATGGTAATTAGTGTGGAGCAAGAAGTAGCACCTTTTCTGTGAAGTAGCACCTTTTCTTGTGCTGGTTATTGTCTAAGGAAGCCTTGTGTTATCATCTCTTTAATGGCTTTTCAGAGGATGGGTAAGTCTTGCTTTCTGCTATAATGACTACTTATTTCAGAAGGAATGGTTAGTAATAGAATTATTTTTAAATAATTGGATCTACTCCCCAAGAGGAGCTCCTCTTCAACGTGGCTGCTGAATGCTAAGGATATTTTTCTCTCTTATCGGTAATCTGCTGATTTTGCTGCCTAAGCTGGCTTTCTGATAGTGTTGCTCCCTGGATTTGAATGGGAGCACTTAAGAATGACCCAAAGGTGACTTTTGGATGGCCATGGACCCATTTGGAAAGGGGATCTTAAAGATTCAAAGATCAAAGAGATATCGAATGCACAGAAGTAGAATGGACTTGATTCCGCACAACTCTCTGAACTTCTAGTCTTCATTTCTTTACAATAGCAGAAGCCTGACATGGAGAAATGACAAAGCAATATTTCTTAGGAGGACTGGGAAAGATTGGGGAATGGATTTATTACTCTTAATTGCAAACCACTTTTATCTGGACTTTGTTGGGAAGATTGTAGGTGGGATGATTGTAGAAACTGAATGTAGTATATTTAACTAGACAGAAACTGATTACAAATGATAACAAAGATGAATGTGGATATATGATCTAGGATAAGTTACTCTTAACTCTTGGGAGATTTGGGATAGATAAGAGACCACAGTAAATTTTCTATGAGTTGATTACAATAACAGTTTGTTAACAGAAGGTTTTGAAAATCTAATCTTATCCTTTTCGTTAATATTGTTCTATCTGTTAAGTATTTTGTCATTAATATAGCATATGGATGACAGGCCAATAGTTTGCAAATTATTATTTTTTTTTAAAATGGAGGGGTTGGGTTTACAAGGGGTAGAAACTAATAATGTATCAATATATTAATCAGTATTCAACTGGGAGAGGGGAAATATGTAAAGATGTTTTTTTTAAATGCACTTTTTAAATATATTGTATGCTTTTTTTGCTTTTTGTTATTTTAAATTTTTTAGAATTTGGTATTTTAACTTTCTTTTTAATAAAACAAAAATTGCTGAAAATATTTTTAAATAATTTTGCGTAGCTTTATTCTCTGCTGCTGTATTATTTCAGTGGAGCATTTGGGGAATTTGTTATTTAAAATAAAAAGTAAATAAGTTCTGTTGTTATTTAAGAAAAAGGAGCTTGTTTGAGGAAAAACAAAGAACATAACATAGCTAGGCAAAACTGGGGTATAAATGTTTAAATAGTCAATAAACACAATTTTTGTCAAACATGGTTTATGAATAACATCCATATATTGTACACTGATTTACTGGTATTGTGATAGATCCTGCTACTACAAGTATAGAATAAATTTACAACAACTAGGCATGGGATATGATCACCCCAAATTCAAAGCTCTACTGAACTACAAAGGTCATACAGAAAGAAGCTAAGCAACCTACTTGATTGAAATTCTTGCTGAAAGTAGTAAACAAAGTCCATAAAAAATGGTACTCAGCCCTTGCCACATACACGTAGATATTTTTTAATAATAATAACAATAAAGGTAGGATAAAAATAAAATAACATAAGTAAATAAATAAATAATCCTAATTCATCCCCCAGTCTCTAGCTGGGCAGAAAAAAACTTTCATTTAATGCAATGAAAGAACTTCTAAAAGCAAATTCTCTTTCAAAGAGAAGTTCTTTTGGGTGGAAGGTTGTATACTTGCACTTTTTTAATTATGAGGTGGCCAAGATGCATGAGAGAATTTTCTGCCTCTCATAATATAATCATCTTTCTGACTTCCAGGACTTCAGTTATATTCAAGGAAGGTTGTCATTATGGAAGTCCTTTAATTTTTTTTTTATAGTGAGGCAACTGTCATCAAGAAGGAACAGCCAGTCCATTAAACATGTTGACTAATTTTTCTTTTTTTTGAAGATAGTTAAAGAAATTTCCTATTCCAAGCCACTTTGCCACAAATTTAGTGGAGAATTTTTGAAAGCCTATTTGTGCCCAGCTGCAAAAAAAAGATTCCAGTTACTGGCATCTTGGAGTCTGAATCAATTAGCTCCAGTAACATAAATGTTAGTTAAGACAATAAGCATAATGTGCTATGGAAATATAGCAATGTGCAAATGCTGTATGTATATTATTTTATAGAAAACTTGTCATAAGAATGTTCTCTAAGATCCAACTTTCCACCATCAAGAGCATATTCTCTCACTTTTGCCTAACTCAGAGTGAGATCCCCTTCTGTACTTTTAAAATTTCTTAATCTGGAAATTATAATAGGATGTTAATGGGTTGAATTTAGAAATGGAATAAAGGTAGCATTTTGAAGTAGAGCAGAATTGCTGAAAATAATACATGTACGATGCTTCTGACATGTATACTTTACAGCTCTATTTTCTAGATAAAACCAATGACCTGTTTATATGAAGCTTGAAATGGCCTGGAGACAGAAGGTGGCACCTTCTTTGCTTTGCTCATTCTCCTGACCTGTGAATTAAGATCAAGCAGAAACTAATTGCTCAGGTTCATATGATAGTCAGCATGAAGTTCGTCCAGAGTAAAGGGATCACTACAAGAGAGACCAACACATTCTTCCAATGAGATATTGGTTGATTTATAAAGGAGAAAGAAAAACTGCTGTTGTTCCTTGCATTGTCATTTAAACTTCTTTTTTGTGCAGCTGTTATTGTTGGTATTATATGCTGGGATACAAACCACACTGACTACAAAGGGTGGGGTACTCCACCAAGCAATTGAGTATATAACTACAATCTAAATTTTGGGATAAGAACTACTGGATCCATTGAGATTTTTTAGAAATACTAACATTCAACTATGAACTATTTAAAAAGGAGATATCTACAAAGTTGCACTGTAAATCTTTTATTATTTACAGTTGTGTTTTACTGTACAGTTTATGTTTTGAGTGTCCTTTTTGATCAGAAATTGACCTTGTATGTAAAAAGATTCTAGTCTACCCTCATCCATAGAAGCTCACTGGGTGACTTTGGGCTGGCTACTCTCTCCCTGTCTAATTTATCTCACGGGATTCTGGTTGTGACCAAAAAAACATGTGAGAATGCTTATTTATTTATTTTATTTATTTATTTGATTTGCCAATTGTTTACAATTTGCTTGCTTGCTGGATGAGCTCCTGACTGAAATGTAAGATGTAAAACTTATCAATTAATAACATCAATGTGGAAACATACCACCTGCATATGAGGTGTTAGTATATTTGTTTGTAAAGATGAAATAATGAAGGTACCTCTTCCATAGCAGCAATAAGATTTTGGGTAGATTTGCTGATCTCTTCCCCTGCCAAGGGCATGCCACTTCCATGAGTGAAAAATGTAGAACCCGAGCTAGTATTTCCATTCATTTCAACTGTATAGCTGGCTTTCACAGGGCAGCAGAGTTGGTTGTGTAAAATGAAATATACCACAAAGACATAAAGACCCTAAAAGACAGAAGAGGGAGCAAGGAAAATTCAGGCATCTATGTATGAAATGCACATAGGTTTAATGCAAAACATATTTAAGAAACCTATATATTCCAGATATCAAGATGCAGAACAAGATTTTTTCCCCAGAATCCCAACCAATGACTGTTCATATGATTATAATGGAAATCAAAACACAACAGAAGCTGTCAAAATAAATTATTGCCTTGGAAAATAACCTCCATGAACATAATGAGATAGTTTAGTTTAAGATGATGTGTTTCTTTTTAAAATCACTTATTGTGGAAGCAAAGCAAAAGTAGAACAACAGTTCAGCAGCTCCAACATAACAAGGAAATCAGAAATGGCTGATAGAGAGCCAAGCTTGCAATGATTTATTGTCAGATAATACCTCAAGTATTTTTACTGACCTGTTAGTTTCAAACTGTAATTTCAACATCAGAAAAACACTGGTTAGGGTTTAAAGAGCATGTTTCAGCTTCAAATAAGCACTATCTTAAAACTGTTTTGCCTTTACATTTATTACCTAGTTTAAAATATTTTAAAATATTTCTGCACCATCTTAACAGTAAACTGTTCATAATTATAGGTTCACAATATAATAAAACATACAAGAAAATATAATGCATGCATTTAAAATTTTGCTTGTGCAGTTTATACCCTGCAAGCTTTTTAACATTCAGCAACTGTCATGAAATCATTTTAACATAATATTGAGGCTCTCAATTCTAGATCCTTTCATTCAGCTTCTTCCTCCCTTTTTGAGGGAGAAAGCTGTTAAAGAATAACAGAATAATGGAGTTGGAAGGGACCTTGGAAGTCTTCTAGTCCAACCCCCTGCTCAAGAAAGAGACCCTATGCCACTTCAGATAAATGGTTGTCCAATCTCTTCTTTAAAACCTCCATTACTGAGCACCCGCAACTTCTGCAGGCAAGTTGTTCCACTGATTAATAGTTCTAACTGTCAGGAAATTTCTGCTTAGTTCTAGGTTACTTCTCTCCTTGATTAGTTTCCATCCATTGCTTTCTGTCCTGCCTTCAGGTGCTTTGGAAAATAGCTAGACTCGCCCCTTCGATATTGGAAACCGCTATCAAATCACCCCAGACCTTCTTTCCATTAAATTAGAGTGGTAGATAGGTCCATTCCCAGCAGCAGCTTCTTTGCATGACTCTCTCACATAGGCAATACACCTTTACCAAGACTGATCCACCTTCAATACTTTGAACATAGAAAAAGCACATCTGGGTCTTGAATTCATACACACCTTGTTTATTTCCTCAGATATAATCCCTTACAGCTAGTCCCAAATTTTACAATACTACATGAACTGTTCAAATAGAGGAGAAAGTTAACATTATCATTCAAGCTTTTTACAAAAAGCAGAAAAAAAGTTAAAAATCAATTCGCAATGATTTTGCCTTCTTGAATATTTTGGATTTATTTTGGATTTATTTATTAAATGTATTTTGTGGTTTTAAATGCTACAGTTAGGATACCATGCTGTTATTCTTATAATTACCAGTAGTAGCGTTATGTATGAACACTATGCATATTATGCTTCCAACTGTAAAGATGGATTAACAGCATGGGAGATAGAAAAAAGAGTAACCTTAAAATCTGCATAGAAACTGTCAGAATTTAGTCCAAACTTGTAAATCACAATAATTTCTGATATGGTAACCCAGACCACAACTAGGTCTGTGCAGTTTTTCCAGCCATTTTGTTGCTGAAACTGTTCTAAAAAATTCCATCACCATGGGCTATCTACTGCAGAATGACATCTTCAAAAATTATGAACTACTTGTATTTACAGTACAGAGAAAATATATCTAATTTATGCATCTACCCTCAATACTTCTAAATAAAATATTTTATTATACAGTACTTTTGTGGCTAATTCTAGAACCTCCCCAAGATTGGTTTCTACTCCCAATTAGAAACATTGCAAAAGGCAAAAATAATCACAGTCTATTGGTTTTATTACTGGATTAAGTGTCCCCAAGTGTAACTTTTTTTCCAAAGCATTATATAATCTCTTTAATTAATATAACTAATAATATTTGCTAATATATTTTCAGCCAGTACTGGGAAATAATCTTCCAGAGGATGATCAAGGACACAGGTAGAATCTGAAACATGTCTGAGATTTGCATATAGTTCCTTTCCGGTTTCATGGACTAGATGACGTTTGTGACTGCCACTCAATGGAACAGAAACACTAATACCCACCCCACTGGATTATTTCCCATACATCAAATTGGAATTTGTCTTCATTCTTACTTAATGCAAAGAAACACTCACCCACCCCACTTTTCTCCATATATCAGATAAACATGGAGAAAAATCTACCAATCATTTTAATTGAATTTTAAATTCATGTTCCTTATTTATTATTTTAATGCTTTATAGTGCATTATAATTGAATATCTGTAACCTGCCTCTAGAAAGATGAGTGGCAAAGAAGTTTAAACAAACAAGCAAACAAATACAAGAACAAACAAATGCTCTGCTAGATGTGTATATTTGGCTGGCATGCAGAAAATAACACATAGATTCATTTATTTATTTATTTTTATTTATTTATTTGATTTGTCAATCGCTTACAAGATAATAGGTATAAGTATATACATAGTTATGAATACATGAAATGGGTACATATAAGAAAAATAAAAGAAACAATAGGACAGAACGGTAGGCATGTTGGTGCGCTTATGCATGCCCCCTACAGACCTCTTAGGAAAGGGGTGAGATCAATAGTAGACAGTCTAAGGTTAAACTTTTTGGGGTTTGGGGAAGAAACCACAGAGTCAGGTAGAGTATTTCAGAAATTGACCACTCTGTTGCTGAAGTTGTATTTCCTGCAATCAAGTTTGGTGCAGTTAACCTTGAGTTTGTATCTATTGTGTGCTCTTGTGTTGTTATGGTTGAAGCTGAAGTATTCATTGACAGGTAAGTCATTGCAATGTACGATTTTATATACCATACTTAGATCAGACCGAAGACGGTGTAATTCAAGGTTTTCTAGGTCTAGAATTTCAAGTCTGGTGGCATAAGGTATTTTACAACGAGTAGAGGAGTGGAGAATTCTTCTTGTGAAATATTTCTGGACTTTCTCAACTGTGCTAATATCAGATACATAATGTGGGTTCCAGACTGATGAGCTGTATTCAAGTATTAGTCTGGCAAATGTTTTGTAGGCTCTAGTTAGTAGTGTGATATTACCAGAGAAAAAGCTACGTAGGATTAGGTTAACAACTCTTAATGCTTTTTTGGCTATGTAGTTACAGTGGGCTCTAGCACTTAGATCATTAGAGATGAGTATTCCAAGGTCCTTTACAGAGCTTGGATCATCAACAAGATCTTGACTATTCAGCTTGTATTTTATTTTCTGATTTTTTTGCCAATATGTAAGACAGAGCATTTGTTTGTTGAGATTTGAAGCTGCCATTTGTTTGACCATTCTGATACATAGTCAAGATCTTTTTGAAGGGTAGCAGTATTGTCTGTGGTATTGAACAGCTTTACATCATCAGCGAAAACAACGCAGTTGCTCTTAATATGTTCACAGAGGTCATTTATGTAGAGTATGAAGAGAGTTGGTCCTAGAACACTGCCTTGGGGGACACCACTATTGACAGGTACAGAATTTGATAACACACTCCCAATTTTGACCATTTGTTGTCTGTTTGACAGGAATGCTTCTATCCAGTTATGCAGTTGTTCAGAGATACCATAAGATTTTAGTTTTAGGAGTAGTTTGTCGTGTACCACTGAATCAAAGGCTTTACAGAAGTCTATGTAGATTGCGTCTATTGTTTTGCCCTGATCGAGTTGTGTAGTCCATATGTTTTTGCAGTGTAAGAGTTGCAGATTACAGGATAGTTTTTTTCTGAAACCAAATTTTTTATTGGAGAGTGGGTTGTTTGTCTCTAAGTGGAGGATAATGGATTGGTTAATAATTGATTGCATAACTTTACAGGTGACGCAGCATAAGGAGATTGGTCTGTAATTTTCAACTAGGCTGGGGTCTCCCTTTTTGAAGATGGGGATGACTGTGGCTTGTGACCATAGGTTAGGCAAGGAGCTGGTCGTGAAAGATTTTTCAAAGATTATGCTGAGAGGTTCGGCTATGGCAGTGGATAACTTTTTTAAGAAGTAGGCACATATTCCATCCGGTCCAATAGATAGAGATGGTTTTAGATTGTGTAGTGAGTTTTATGACTCTTTTGACTTCAAGTAAAAATATGTTGTAATGGTCTTCAACAGTATTGCATCCAGTGAATAGAGATTGCCAATCAAGGGAGGAGAGATCGTTGTCTGTAAGATCATAGTTGCCTTTTTTGAAGTTATAATTGGGGATTACATCATTGTGATGATTTTTGTGTGGGCGTATGTTGAGACAAAAGTCAATCATATTGTGGTCACTGCTGGAAAAGGGTTCTTTAGTTTGTAGTCCGTAAATTAAATTCAAACTATTGCAGAAGATGAGATCGAGGCAGTTGTTTAGTCTAGTGTTGTTGGTTACTAGTTGTTCCAGTCCCAGATTTGTAACAGCATTGTAGAAGGTTGTGTGTATGGGTTCAGTTGTACATTCATTTAGGGTCCAGTCAATATGAGGTAGATTGAAGTCACCAAGAAAGATAAAAGCGTGTGGGCAGGATGTTGCCCATGTTAGTAGTGAATTTAGCTTGTTTAAATGTTCGATGTCGTAATCAGGTGCTCTGTAACATAGTAAGATTTGAAATGTGATATTTAAGGATAGTTCACAAATGATGGTCTCAGGAAGAGCAAGCTCCTGGGTAACTTGGATGTTTTTTAGATGTAAGGACTTTTTATAGAAGATAGCAACACCACCTCCTCTACGAATTTCACGATCTGATCGGTAAACATGATAGTCTCTTACTGTGGTAATGGAGTCAGGGAGAGATGCGTTGAGCCATGTTTCACAGACAAACATGATGTCGAATTTAGCCATATTTAGTAAGAGGAGAAATTC